TGCGCGTTAGCTATACGAAGGGGGGCTCTTTTATTTGATGTTTCGATGTTTGTGTGTGCGAGTGGGTCATTCTGTCTCCGTGGAGTAGGTACCTAATGCAGTTAGATCTTTCGCTGTATCTGTTGCCTGCTCGTCTCGTGCGGATTGTAGTTCTTAACATCTTAGCAATACGAGTGGGGGCCCTCTCATTAAAATTTCCTCTATTTAAAATATGTTCTGCTTGAGCGATAATCGATTTTCACATGAATACTTGCTATTGACCAATGGCATTCTCACATGTACTTTTCGTGGTAAATTAAATTATGTTAATGGAAGGATGGAGTAGAGCCACACCATTTACATGTTTCCTATGTACATGCAGTTTGTTTATTTGACGAGTTGTGTTCACCATCGATCGTACAGGTATTTTGATGTGTTTTTGTACTGAATTGATTTATCATGTTTTCCACTGCATATATGATGTCTTGTGTATTTTGATTTTATGAACTTGTTTAATTGCCTTTGCTTGATTATCTGATTTTTATCATACAATTTGAGATGCTTTATTTATGTGTATTTTCTCTTAATTTTATTGCTGTAGGTGATTTATTTCATGTATTTGTGTGGCCTATGCCAGGGTTTTAGTCCCGGAGAAGGTTTCCCTGGCATGGTCTTGTGTGTGCGTTAATATATTTATTTGATCTTGTCATTTCTTACGCACACAAGTTCTGTCTTTTATTTAATTCCCTTCCCGATTATGTCTCACGTCCCAACACATAAAAGAACCGATTACACAACGTAGGAGTCCATTCGTGCCACCCAAATTCAAAAGTGCGGCGAAACTACCATCGTTTCGACTTGAAAGGTAGGTGGCTCTGCTTGTAGTTTTTGCCAGAGTTGCCAACCGTATAGGGTAAGTCAACGTATTCCGTGTCGGCTTGATAGACCCCCCCTAGGAACATTACATACTATGCGATCAAAAATGAGTTGCTGTCGAGTCACCTTTGGAATTTAAGTTTACATGGAAAAAAAGGCGACTTGACAACAACTCATTTTTGATCGCCCGTTATTCATCACCGCCGTTACAGTATTTTGCATGAACACGGTTTGGGAGAATTGTTACCAAACTTTTCCTATTCACAAATCCACATCGATACCTAATCATTTGAATTCATGCCATACCATTCAAATTGAAAGACGTGAATTTTATTTTTTACTCAGTTGTAAACGTTGATTAACAAGACAAAACGCAAACGGGTAAACGTCATGTTTAAACGCTACTGACTTGTAAAACTGACAGCAGACCTGTAAAACTAACAGCTGACCTGTAAAAATTTTACAAGTTAGTAATCTAGTAATTTCATTGGCCAGAATTAATGCGATGTCTCTGTTACATGGATAACATGATATTTTAGACATTTCTTCGAGATCAATTTAAGAACTAATTATTTACGTTTACTATTGTTTGCAAATGAGTAACAAATAAAATATTGTACATTATACGCCAGGTAAAGGTTGATTCTCACTATACATAACGTTTCCATACCATACCATATCCTTTCCATTACCATTCCGTAAATTATTATACCTATGAAATTGACCTTTAAGTGATATGTGCGTAAGACATTTAGCCGCGCGTTAATACACATTCTCCTTTCCGTTCACATATAGAAGGCGAATGTGTATTAGCGCGCGACTGAATGTCTTACGCACATATCACTTAAAGGTCAATTTCGTAGCCTATAATAATTTACGGAATGGTTATGGAATGGATATGGTATGGAAACGTTATGTATAGTGAGAATCAGCCTTAATACTTTTACTGGCTCTAGGAGATGACAGGCTCGCCTGACGGCTCGCCAGTCAACTTCTCCTATCGCCAGTAAAAACTCACTTACCTGGCTAATAATGTAAAATACTATTACACATTTCCCGATTGTATTGTATGTATGCAATTTGCCTTCATTCATGTGTTATTCTCTGGCTTAGCTCTTGAATGACTTGAATACTGTCAGGTGGAGATATTCAACCGTTTTCAAATGTCCCCAACGAAAAAAAATTTACCCAAACATTGATGTTGAAAGTCGGACACGATTTTCTCCGGATTTTCGTGGTTCCAATATTACATTCGTTACTAAACCAGATGTTTTTGAAAAAATTAAGATATTGATCAATTCTTTGGTACCTACATATACATATAATAAATCAGTTGTAAATTCATGTAGTAATTCTAAGCTTGTCCTATAGGAGAAGATCTACTATTTTTTCTTCATTGCCAGAAGTATCTAGTTTGTCTCGCCATTGTAATTTACGCTCAAGGTATTCGACCTTCTCTTCTAAGCAGTTGAGAGTTTGTTGCCATTGTTGTTCGTTTTTCTTCATTTCTTCCTGGATTTTGGTCATGTCCTCCTTCGTACTTGTATTATCAGGCGAACGGCTGACCTTTTTGCTTTTCGCATAGGGGCTATTTTCTTCGAGCGAGGCATCTAAAGACTTTTTTGTAATAGGATCATTGATAAGATGTACCTAATGCTATTGCTTTGCTGACGATTCTCCATAAAACAGATTGTCCTCCTACGTGAGTTTAGTTGCTTATCAACCAGGAGCAAATTATTCTATAGCCACAGTATATCCCTATACCATAATATATTATACTATGCCTATACTGTGCTATAGCATTTAATAAAAAATTAAGTAATTATTCAATGACTAGAGTATATTTATGATACTGTAATCATAGCTACTCTTTGCTGGAATGAAAGTTTTCATAGCTAATTTGGTTTTTAAGTTATGGCCTGATATAAAAAATTTGCTAATTTCAAACCGCGTTGACATATGAGTATGACCATTGAATATTCAGATTCTTTATTCAATGGTATGACCAAAAACTATCCTCAGCTTTGGTATGACTATGTTTTCTATTTGAAATGTTTAATTGAAATTTTGTGTGATTGTATGTGCAATGTGGGGGCTAAACTTGACTTCAAACCATCGTACCGTGTTTAGATCTGTGATCGTACGTCTTTTGAATGTTCTTTTCCCACAGGCAGGCAATGTAAATAAAAATAGTTTACATAAAAAAGCGGCGTACCTTTATCTATTCAAAAATTGGATATCTTGTTGAAAACTTTCCAAACTTTTTGGATTTCTTGTCTAAAAAAGTTTGGATATCTTGTCAAAAAATTTCCGAACTTTTTGGATATTTTGTCCAAAAAATTTGGATTTCTTGTCTAAAAAAAATTCGATATTTGGATATCTTGTCGCGCCACCGACAAGATATCCAAATCGGAGTTTCCAAATTGGTTGGATATTTTGTCGCTTTATTTGGATTTGGATAATTTGTCCCTAAAAAGTTGGAATTTGGATTTCTTGTCGGTCCCTTGAAGGTGTGCCAGACGGCCATCAAATTCCGATGTCTCAAAGGGGGGCCCCCCATGAATTATTTTCCGAGATGCTGTTTTTGAAAGTCAAACGTGCATAACTTTTACATACGACAATCAATCGGTCTCAGATTTTGCATACACATGCCTTCAGTGGTGCCAAGTTAAACGTTTGAAAATTGGGGGGGGGGCACGTTGTACCCTTCATGCTATTCTAATGAAATCGAAATAAATTGGTTTGTAGTTTGTACAAAGTATAACTCTCACTAATTTTATCTCTCATGGTACTCTAATTAAAGGTCTCAACGAAAGGAATTAATTTCTACCAACCATAGTCCTCATCCTCGACCTCATATTGTGATCGGATATATTTCCTGATATCTCCAGAACGGATTGTCGGAAGCGGGTACTCACAAAGGGCGATTGGAACGTGTTCAAGAAATATATCCATTGGTGATGTCAAAACGTTAAGAGTGAATATCTGGAAACCGGTTTGTCGGAGGAAAGTACTCTCAAAGGCAATTTCTGCAGAATGGAGTGTTGGAGGATTTTGAATATTTAACGTCAACTGTTGGTTGTTTTCGTTTGTGCCGTGTTTATTAATGAAACAAATATGTTTTTAAAAACCTCTTATCAACAGTATTCAAAAAAGTACCTATATATACATGGGTGTATATGTATGTACCTACTTCTGGGGAACACATTCTTTTAGTGTAGGTAAGTATTAGATGCTAGGCCGCCTCAATGTGGGTGACGCGGTACATCTCAGAAAAGGTTAATAAGGACACCTCTCCTAATATGTTTGGATGATAGATAATGAATTACCATATCTCTAGTATCCTCGCCTGTGTAAACCAAAGTGAGCAAATATTTTTTATGATAGTAATTTATGTTATTCTGTGACTCCAATTTGTTGTAATGATGCAAGAAACATCGATACAAGCGATTTAAAAGCTCCCGGAGGAATCTATTTGCTTTTGTCAGATCCGTAAAAGCTCGAGCTTCTTGCGTTAATATATAGGACGCCCACTTCCAGTAAAGATTGAACATTCGTTGGCACATTCGGATGTATATCGCCACCACATCTACTTATATCGAGAAAACCATGTTTAATATTTGTTGGATGGTGTGTTAGAGATAACTTGATGAGACGAAAACGCAATTCTTTGATTTTAAGTTTTTCTAGAATGCATCACGCATAGTTGCCATTATTGTACACGTGGTACACGTGGGTGAACGATAATGGAATGTAGAAAAAAAACTTTTAACCCTATAATGAAAACATCTTATAATATGGCTTGTATTTTCCAGAACCATTCGTATCCCCTTACAGTGTTGTAATTAAAGATGGTCATTTCTACAGATTCCTTTGTTCCAGATTATTCTTCCGTTTCATTTCTACTTACCTTTCATTTTATAATATTGATCCAAACACCTACCAAACTCTATGTATTTTGCGACTTAAGAGAAAGTCGTAAATGACAGCGCGCACAGAATTTATAGCGTCAATCAGAGACCACTATTTACAATTCAATTTAACACTCATTCTTGCATCGCCTTCGTTCCACCTTCAGAGTCTGCGCTACAGGAAAAGCACCATACGTCAAATGGCGGAAAATTAAACATTTAGTGCTTTTCCAACAGTCTAAGAGGATCAAGTGATATTCATATTTGCGAAGAAACTTTGTGAAAAAGTTACGATGGTCCAGGAGGTATAATTTTCGAGATGAATACTTACCAAAACTGAAGGTCTGAATAAAAATTCTTGCGAAAATTGTGAAATAAATTTTTAATTTTTCTAAAGGTATTTTAAATGTGGCTTCCCGTTTCAACGGTCGTTGTACTTTGCGTGGTGCTTGATGGTACCGTTTCAAAGGATAATGATCTGGAAAATATGTTTCGACAAAGGTAAAGCTTTCTCTTGAATGTATTTATTGCAAATTAATTTTACATCGCAATTTGCATTAACAAGGAATATAAGTAGAGCAGATCATTAGGTATCCATTGTCTAAAATTTAATCAGGCTTTCGCCTAACGAAAAATGCACGCCATAGGTGAACTTTACCCAGGTACAGGAATGAATGCTTAATTTTTTGGCTCAGAAAGCATGCGGTGAAGCGTACAGATTTTTCCGAAAAGGATACGTGTGTGCTTAACCATTTTAGTGGAGACCGGAAATAGTGATCCTTTTGTGTCCGGGCAAAACGATAACAATAATAATAGCGTATATTTATTGCATCTACTACGCAACTTTCGCCTTCTGTAACGCTATAACTGTTTAGGATTTGTAATCTTTTGAATGTAGATGACACTTCTAGTTGTTTGGGAAACCAATAAACTGTCCTGGTGTTGGAACTGAACTTTTCAATAAAGTACCTATCCATAACTGTTATCAAACTTTTGTAAATTAAACGGAACCATCTTATCTTTACAGATCAAGCTCGGATTGGCAAGAAGCGTGGCACCACGAAAAGTTCACACGCTGTCGCGACACGTTAATACAACACCTTTATTGGGCATGTGAGAAAGATATTTATCGTTTAAGCAGAAGAAGTGAAAAACCTCGAGTGATAAAGTTAGGCGAACGCTATGAATATGGTAAGTTTCGGAAATTTCATGTAAAAGGCTTTGGAATGGCCGAAGACTCAAAATTTTGTCCCTAGTGAGCGTGTAGATCCAGGCGTACCTACTCTGATTCGACTGGAAAGGTAATTTAGCACGACGTCTGCAACAGTTGACCCTTCTTCAATTGGCAGGGCAAATGCTTCTGTCCATTTGCTTAAATAGTCCATTGCCACCAAGCTGTATTTATTTCCAGAAAGCTGTCCCTGGGAAAGGGCCAGCGATATCAATAGCTATATCGTTTTGTTCATTCCTACTACATCAATTTTTTTAATACTCTTCTTCTATATTTTCGTTTTTTAGCGTAACACAATGACGTTAAGGTAACGCTTATGTGCTCGATTTTCTGTCGTCTATTTGTCTGTCTGTTCTATCGAGACGTCAGCCCCTGGGTCACCTAGAGACATCAAGTAATTCATAACTGATGCTATATGGTCTATATTAGCCCGTTACTCATTATTTACAGTTTTGTTACGCGGCAACAGCCACGAGTGGTTTTGAAACTTTTTTTTCTTCTGTACTAATGGTATGCATGCGAGCATTACCATCCGCTTTGCAGCATCAAACAACATCAAACAGGGCATGCGTCAAAACCTTTCGAATTTACCATGTCCTGCAAGTTTTGAAGAACGTCTGCACCACCAGTTGCTCCATTAAAGCTTTCTCTGTCTGGAGCCAGAGGACACCAATCTTATCAACCGGGCTATATCGACTTCTTACAAAGTTTAGCCCGATTGTTCCTTCCGTTTTTTAATTGGTCCTAATATACCTGCTGCAAATGTTTTTCTCCATACCGAGCTTTCAACTGTGATACAATTTGTTCAACATCCTGTCAACACAGTCCTTAAAGTGCTTGATTTATAACCATACCAATTCATATTTATCACTGACATTTACAACACATTAATTTAACTACGAGCGCGGATTTCATTATTTATCACTTCGACGGAGGTTAAACACAATTCAATTTGCTTGGGTAGCAAACAAAAAACTTTTAGAAAAATCTTGATATTATATTTCACAACCGCTTTCATTCTTATCGACTTGATGGCGCGTTGATAACGTTCTTGAAAATGCGCTACATTCTTTTATAATGTACCAACTAATATTATATCCCAGGCCTTTTGGTGCATGGCACCCATCTTGGGCCAATATCTCGGCTGGGTGTTTTTAGACCAGAAAAATTAGAACGATTTTGCCCTAAAGTTGAAATTTTTGCAAACAGTTATCGCAAACGCAAAAATGTATTTATTATTGCATCATTATTTGCAAAATTATAAACATATATGAAAAGCTGGAGAAATTGGTACTTGGAGGTTTTCTGGAGCGCATAATATTGGCCCTCAAGATTAACCAGGGATGCTCAGGGGTGGCACTACTCGAGGCAATTGAAATATTTAACTGAAAAGTTACTTCCGCTTCCCCCGACGCGGCCCCTGGGCTTTCCCGGAGAATTTCGAGAGTAGATCTGAACTCTGCGACCGCGAAAATTCCCGAGTAACCATTTTCGGACAATTTCCCAATACTTTTAGTTTTTCACTCCACTGTGTACCTCTAAGCCACTCCATATCTCCACCGCTGTGTATCTCCGGACAATATTGAGGACATCATATCGGGACTAGGCGACCGCTAAACCCTCGAGCAACGATTCCCGGCACTGTTCATCTTGTACTCCACTGCACCCCACCACTCCTGATCCTCTCTCAATTCCGGACCCTCATCCGGTCAGTTTCGAGGACAGATATGAATTATGATTTTTCCGGCAATTTTTCTTGGTGTATTTTTATCACTATGTCCAAAACCGCATTTTCATACATCTGTAAATGAATATCTGGGTTTCAAGGTTTTGCCCTGTTTTTATATTTTGACTCAACATGAAAAAAAGGAACTCAAACAGTTTGGTTATGCATGCATGCTTGAACAGTCTATATCTTTCGGTACTGTTCTGCTTAAAAATCATGACACACCATGATAATTTGACGCCCACATGCAGCATTGTTATAAGGAAATGTATTTTCCCGCCCGCACACGACCATTTGCTTTGATGTTTTCTTCTGATTTTTTTGCTTATTTGTAGTTAGAAACAGGAACCCGGACCGGACCGAAAAAGAACCGAAAACCGGACCGAAACCGGAATTTTTTTCTGGACCGAAAACCGAACCGAAACCGTTATTCCTTCAGAATTCGAAACGTATTGAGAACCGGAACTCAAATTACCTACTTTTTTTTGGTTCTTTTCGGTTTTTTACGGTTCTTAACAGGTTATTGGAAGTTGAAGGACGCGCCGGCAACAACGTCCTGAAAATTGATAAAATATTACTCTATGATTGCCATCCGTGGATTATAAATTTTTAATAAGGTGTCGAAATTGAAGGCATTACGGGTGGCGGTGGCGCTAATTTAGCCACTACTTTAAAAAAATAAAAAAAGAGGGGCGAGGTTTTAGAAAATAAAATTTTCTGATCTTTATCATTTAAGTGTAAATACATATTTCCCTCCTCCTTCTTTATTCCCCTTGTCGCTATAAATTAGCTACACTGACGATACGTCACGATTTGGTGTTCATGACTTTTTCTGCACACCTATTAATTAACAAATCACGTTGAATTTTTTGAATGACATACTTTCTGAAAAACTAGAACCGAAAAAAATGCGCAGAACCGAACCGTTATTTCTTTTTAGAACCGAAACCGGATCGGAACCGTTATAAATATTTTCGCTTAAATATAAACAGAACCGGAACCGATATTTCATTTGGGTCCGGGTCCCAACAAACATTCTGAACGCGACCTTCAATCATCGGCCATTGCTTCCACATTACCGATTCTACTCACATTTCCTAGGAAATACAGGTCTTGTTTAATCCGGCGACCCGACTCAAAAACATATTACAGTATTTCAAGACAAGCTACCTACCTAACCAACCCGATATACTATGCACACAGTGGAAATTTTGTAGTTTCGGCTATCCCGGGCTATAATTTGTTGGGGGTGCCATTTGAAATTTGAAAAAATATGACCAGGAAGATGACATTTGGTGAAGGTCAATCAACCAACCCGCGCCGGAGCGATTTAGTTTATATGTTATATAAAAATATAAGTACTCTTCACGTAGGTACTTTTCCAATTTTTTAATATAATGATACGCTACTGAAATACAGCACGCCACTGGTGACAATATTAGTGCGTGGGTAGCAAGGTATACTTTAAACTTTAAAGTATACCTTAGTGGGTAGAAGATTGTGGGTTTATTAATTTTTAACCTATGTTAGCTATTTCTCACTAACAGCACTACTTTTGTTTTAAATATATTTATTCAAAGAAATACAACTTGCTCTCTAAATTCTACGCCATTATTCCTTTCTTCTCCCACTCTCTTTCACTTAACCTTGTCACCCCAAACCCATGAAATTACCACAGAATGCATACACTTTGAATTTCAAAAAAAGTTCCTAACACCTACATATTTAAAATTCTTTGACGGGGCATTATGTTGAAGGACTCTTCACTCTTCAGGCTACAACCTAAAAATATGTTCAACGAAATTGCAATTGTTATACAGAGTGATTTATATCAAAGTTGAATTTTTTAAAATAGAACCCCCTGTATATTATTACATATTTCGATTCCTTGTTCAATTTTAGTGTGAATAAGTAGGTATATAGTAAATAGTAATTAATACGATTTTGTATCCATGTAGCAACATTTTTCTTTTCCTAAAGTATAGTTTGTTATAGATAAACCACCATGGATATCTGTCATGAGAGCTCGACAGCTCGTACGTAGTCGTCGAGGTGGATCTTCAATAACATCTGAGTGTTGTAGTTCTTCAGGATGTACATGGGAAGAGTATGCAGAATACTGTCCTACAAATAAACGTCATACTGTATTTGTAGATTAAACAAATAAATGTGTGATTACCCCAATAACTCATTTAACGAAGCTTCATTTTCGATATTATTATTACTTATCCGTATTTCTGTAAAGAATCCTTTTCATGTATTTAACACATAGCATTGACTTTACACATTATAGACAAACGGTGTAGGCTTAAAAAATGGCAACACAAATGGAGCTGGAAATGTTAGTATGGAGCTGGGCCACAATCCACAGAATACGGCCTTCTCAGAATAGAAACAGCAATGTTAAAAATTTGTATGGTATTTTGGCGGACCCTGGTGGGTGTACTGTGAACTAAAACATCAAAATCAGAGTAGCGCCATCTGGTGACCAGCTTCATGAAATAATTTCCCCAATTCGATCTAAATCATAAATATCGATAAAGAATACACAGTTGTTAAATTAAAGTGTATTTAGATATAATCACATTACATTATTTAACACAGAGAACTTAAATTACATGTTTACAAATTACCTACATATAAAACTCAGAAGTGAGTGGAACTTACGCTTTGTAGATGTTAACACTTTGCAGAAAGATCCTTACATAAGGATTTGTCGTACGAAATATTTGGTTTTAATTGCTGTTTGGACTAAGTACATATTTTTGTTAAAAAATATCTTTAGAACTAAATTTTTTGTTCCAAGAGGTAATAAAACCGTTTCAGCAAATTGTCACACAAGTTTTTGACAACAAATGTTAACTTGATCCTGATGCTTACTTGTTACTTGAGAAGCGAAGGTGGAAGTTGTTGAATTATCTAAAACGTATTTTTATTCATTGTCTAAAAGGAATTACAATATAAGTATCTACGTCTATATACTTAAATATAAAACTCAAGTCTACACCCTTTTGCGCCTTACAGTTGGTAATTTATAAATTCCATACCTTGCATAAATAGGAGAGAAATAACAGCACATTTCAACCCTCTTCGCGTTTCAAACACAAAACAATCTGTTTCAAAATATGGGAAACGATGCCTTTTTGATATTTTATAGTTAAAATCCGCCACACAACACTTTACGGTCACATAACTTGTTCATATTTTAAATCTTTTAAAAGTCAAAATTGACATGTGTAAAACCATGTGTACGTATAAAATCGACGGTAATAGTATTTTATTTGTTACTCAGTTGTAAACGTTGATTAACAAGACAAAACGCAAACGGGTAAACGTCATGTTTAAACGCTACTGACTTGTAAAACTGACAGCAGACCTGTAAAACTGACAGCAGACCTGTAAAACTGACAGCAGACCTGTAAAAATTTTACAAGTTAGTAATCTAGTAATTTCATTGGCCAGAATTAATGCGAAGTCTCTGTTACATGGATCACATGATATTTTAGATATTTCTTCAAGATCAATTTAAGAACTAATTATTTACGTTTACTATTGTTTACAAATGAGTAACAAATAAAATATTGTACATTATACGCCAGGTAATAGTTTTTACTGGCTCTAGGAGATGACAGGCTCGCCTGACGGCTCGCCGGTCAACTTCTCCTATCGCCAGTAAAAACTCACTTACCTGGCTAATAATGTAAAATACTATTCCTGTAACGAGCAAAATTACAGGTTTTGCAAAAAAATATTTGAGTCTGCGATAAATAGTTCTCCGTACAACCACGGGAAACGCTGTAATCAGTGACAATTTAGCGCCATTTAGGTTTCTGTTCTGTGAAGGTCTTATTCTGTGATTT